ATGTTCAGATGGCGGTTCTTCACATCTGCCTCGATGTTTTTGAGGCAGGGCTCCTTTGGGATGGTCGTTGTCGATAGATCAGATGGTGCGATAGTCGGGTGGTGCAAAGAGTATACATCTTGGTGGGTGGGGTGGTGCTCAGTTGACAGACATGACCGGTTTTGAATACAATCTTGGGTGGGTGCCTGATTACACGAAATTCGTTTCGGACGCGGTCGCCGTTGGAAATCCCCAATACCTGACGTAGCTATCGCATTTGGAAAACCTCGAGCTTGCTGGGGTCAGAATTGAGACGCACCCACGTCTCAGATCCATGAAGGAGTATTGGGAGGATAAGTATTCGAAAGAGGCAGATTTTGGCCGAGAGCGAGATGTTCTCCTTCCATAGGCACCATTTGAGCGAGGCAACCACAAAGTAATAGCTTACTATTTATATTAGATAAACAATTTGTTATTAAAAAAAGAAGATGAATAATGTGAAATACAATGGCATTTGAATACATTAATCTTCACTTGTTAAGTTCATTGAATTGGGAGTTTTGAGCTCCGTAACTGTGATGATGTGACGGCTCCAAGTATTAATACGCGTATTGCAAATATACAACTTAATTTTTCAAGTCAAAAATGCATAGATCAAACATTTTGAAGTCTGAAATCTAGCTTTGGAGTTTTTAAAAACAAACTATTGGTTGCTTTTTTAAAAGTCTTTTAAATCATAGTGAGTAAATATCATCAAAACAAATGAAGATGGATCGTTGCGATATTTTTTAAGTTCAAAGATTAAAGAGCGTTTTAAAATGTTAATATTAGGCAGTTTATACATACGTTCGATCGTCTGACATGTGTTGTTTGTGACTTTACAAAAAAATGTTTAGTGATTATAATTATAAGTGATGCATTACGTTTTAACTTGAAGAGTAGGATTTCCTAGTCGGTGGTCCAGAGACACATTTTTCAGTTACATGTAACTCTTTGAGTTCGCAGTAAGTTGTGAACATTATGTTCCAGAATTCGTAAACCTCTCAAGTCTTGTAAACCACTGAACAACTTGAAACACATTTTTTGATTGTCGGGCGTATGTATTGTCTTTCTCTTGTAAATTGTCTTCTGGGCGATGTTATCGCACGGGCTCAGGTAGTTGTGTAAAGAATCGAACTCGTGTGGTGTACGAAGCCCCCAACGCATTTGACGTAAACGACAAAAGAGGGAGACACAACGCCGAAATCCCCGGCTAGGAAATGCGTCATTGGATTCTTTGAGCTTCGCAATTTCCCTAAATGCTTTATCAACATCCGGAGAAGTGATCACTCTCGTCTTAGACCGAACTCATTTCAAGCCGTTCCTTACATTTGGGAAAACTATTCGGAGAACGGGACCAGTTTTTATTAAGCTACATTTCTGAGTTGTTTCCGCGAGACATAAATAGCGCGTCCGGTTGGCATGAAGCTGCTCCGAGGCGGGGTTCCCGGGGAAAGCTGCGCGTGGCTCCGGGGCCCAGAGGCTGTGAGTGCGTGAGGTCAGCGCGACCGGTTCTGCCTTCACAGAAGGCGCAACGAACGCGGCCGGCGACTGGTTTGCTCCGTCAGACGGACGCTGAGGGCGGGGGTGCCCCAGCGGCTCGGGCGGAGGCCTCTGTCTGCTCGACGAGGAAGGCGCCCGTGGCGTGGGCACGTGCTGCTCTTCGCTGGCGAGACTTCCTCCCTGCACGCGATCGCGACTTAGGATGATATTATTTAGCTGTTTTAATTGGAATTTCGCTTATTTTCATTTGCTTTTTGACAGAAACAGACCACTACTGTTGTTAGTAATTTTAATTATATTGGTAAATTTAAGCAAGCAATTGGCACTGGTTTCAAAATCGAAAAAACACAAATAACTACTTGTTCCTAAAACTAAACACTAAATCTTTTTCCTTTTATGCAGTAAAATACGTCTTCTAATGCGAGATTAGGCAGAATCCATGTTTTGTGGGTCCTTGTTTCCAAAACATCGATTGACTGCAAATCGTCTATGTGTCCGTCCATCCATCTGACAGTCCAACCCCCGTCCGTCCTTCGGTTCCGCTTATGCCAGAACTGTACAGACTATTTTCACCACAACTGATGTCCCCGGTCAATGTAAACAAACGGAAGATCCTCCGAGGTTCAAACATATATTATGTTTTGGGGAAGTCTTTTACACGAAGCCTCAAGAAGTTTTCTCAAAAACCTTTCAATTTTTCGATTAAACTTTGTTCTGATGTAAAAGACGCTTAAAGGAATGGCGCAGGTCTCATTTTAGTTGAAATCCTTTCTTTTTGAAAATTAAAAAAGTTTTTACAATTTATTTCGGCGTCTTCCTACAACTACAATATTCAAGGTAGAGATTTTCTTAATGAAATCTGTTCTTTAAAGTCAAACTTTTGAAATAACGTCACGTGCAATTTTTCGAAAATATGGGCAATTTGGCGTGAAATACTAGACTTTTTAAAGAATAATTTTCTCTGAAACGGTTCCAAATTTTTCTCTTCGTATATTTCAAAAGAACAGTATTAAAAAATCGCGCCAGTTTCATTTCCTGCAAACTCTCCAAATTTTCGAAAATTAAAAAAAGTAACATTCAAAAACTCCAAATTTCCAGATACAGATTTTTTGTCATAAAATATGTTATAAAAATAAGCTTTTTAAAAATATTATGTACATTTTTTAAATGACAGTTTTCGCAGATTACTAAAGAAAACGTTTTCTTAAAAATTGCTGCAATTTTTTTCTTTCAAATTTTTCATGAATAGAACAATAGACGCTTAAAAAATGCCCCAGGTATCATTATCGTTAAACGATCTGAAACTACTAGTCACCGGGATGGGTGAACGCCGGATACCTGAATAAATTGCAACACAATTGAAGATTTTTTTATATTTAAAAACTAATAATGCATGAATTTAGCAATATACTGCATGCATTTTTTGCTTTTTTAAATGCTTACAGCTTTTAAGACATGGCAAAGGCATCTATATTTTGAACAATTTCTGTATTGCGGTTCTGACTGACGACCTCTTTTTTTGAAGAACCAGTTCACTGTGTCTCTGTTTAGGCAGGCCACGCTGTTTGAGAAGCCAGTTTCCACAAAGCGATACACATGGCTGCAATCTCGAGTTGTTTTGTATATATTGCATAAGCGCTTAAAGACGAAACTATCACTTAGGGTTCAGAAAACTCCTAACAATAAAACTCTTACAAGATGAAATGTAATTCCTTACCTAAACAAAGATATTGAAAAACTACTCTGAGATCTATCATTGACTCCCCACACACACACGCACATAAGTATGCGACTGTGAAGTCTTTTAGAGACGAAATTTACTCTAATTGGCTCCCTTTCCAAATACCTGTTACAAAATTATCTTTTTACATTATATTTTGTCGATAGGATAACAAATATGTTCAGTGTAAGAGCAGGCCAACAATTGCCCAAAAATTGTCGTTTATCTACTTTGGGAACTCAAAATCGGTGTATTATATAGTTCACTGTCTGACCTAATATTATCGGAAAAATGCTTTTAAATCAAACAATATTAAGTAACATATTAATTTTAAAAAATCCTTTTTATGTAACATGCACTTCTTTCGCTTATTTACCTGACAAACACACTCACCACGGTGCTAATGAAGTCTCCCTTAGGGTAGGTAACATCATTATTTCTTGGCGCGTGAGGGCCTGTGTTCACGATGGAATATCTCACGGCATTTCGCGTCTTTCTCGGCCGTGCCGTTAGATGTCGCATGATCGCGACCTATCGCGCAGTAATGGAGATCATGCGACATTTTACGTATTACTTTTGTAAAGAAAATTTATAGGAATGTCATGTAAAATTATTATAAGACCTATTGAAAAAATTAAACTTTGCATTAATTATATAAAATTATTATTTTCAACACGAGATGTTGACAAACTTCTACTTCTTGAAGACACTTCTTGAAAAACTAACGCAAATTTCAACTTCATTATTTGTATTCTTTCAAAACTCAACGTACAAAATGAGCGACTTTAGTCAAAACACTAACTTCAAACTTCCTCGGATTTTTAGTCTTCACTTGAAGTAACATACACGAAACATTCCTACCTGAAGTCAGTCTACAAGAGGCTGATTCAGTTCGCGTTTTCTTGAATAACTTATCTTTATTATTCATAGACTGTACATCAGGTCTCCACATCCCACAATATTTTTCTCAGTCCCCCGCACCGACACATTACCGTGACCATAGTGAGCCTTTTTACGGTTAATATTTCGTCAGCTATGGATATCTTCATTTTTTGTGTTAACTTGAGACAATACGTAATAGTCAGTGAGTTGTACTAGCAGACTACGTAGAGGAGGGTGTCCAACGTGCACGGCGTCAAGGGCCACGAAATTAAAACCTTTAGTATGGTTGCGGGCCTTATTTTCATCGGGGGATCCACACCGGACGTCCTCGTACTGTTGAATTCGGCAGTTTACCCGGCTGCTCTAAAACGGGAGGGAGGGAAATGGAAGCATGCGTGATATCACGCCGATCCATGCATAGCTTAGGGAATCACATTGGGATGATTTTGAATTTCGGAATTTACTAAAAAAATACTTACATCTAAACTTAACCTATTTTTGCATTAAGGGGGTGTTGACCTAGACAGGGCCTGTGTGCTAGACGTACCAGGTTCTCGCCCGACATAAATGCAAAGGACTTTCACTTTTGAGTAATATCCTTTCGTGGGTCACAAAGTCTCCGCGGGCCGCATGCGGCCCGTGGGTCACCTGTTGGACACTCCTGATGTAGAGCGACTATTGACGTTCACGCTAAGTATTTCAAGGGAACGTGTACGATATCGTGCTCTTGGCTCAATCCCTTCCCTTTCACAACGGATTTTTTTTGCCATGTCACTCCTCAACAATACTCAGTGCACTGTTACGTGATGTTGCAGGCTGTTGGAAGGCGCGAGATGTGCTCTGGTACCTGATCTTCGCGGGGTGTGTGGTGAACTATATGGTCACCACAAACATCAACTTGGCTATAGTGGCTATGGTAAGACAAGCTTCCAAAAAGAACTCTGATGTCGTACTAAGTGCCTGTGACCAGCCGGAGGCCTCATTTCAAAACGATACCGAAATAAGTCTGCAACGAAATCTAACCCAAGCACCAACAAATATCTTAACAGCTGTAAATATAACCCTCTCAACCCATCTCAACGATACACAGGTACTGTGTCACCTGCTAGTTGTGTCATTATATCATTGCATAGCAATATGCTGCTTGACCCTCTGTTTCACTGAACCCAGACCAGGTACGAATGGGACGAGTACCAGCAAGGCCTAATTCTCGGGGGCTTCTTCTGGCTGCACTGGATTTCCCAAATCCCCGGGGGCGTCTTGGCCCAGAACTATGGCACCAAAGCCGTGTACGGCTTCAGCAACATGCTCATGTGCGTCTTGGGATTTTTGATACCCTTCTCCGCAGGTTTAGACTACAGAATAGTAGTGGCCATACGAGCTCTACAAGGACTTATAGGGGCAAGTATTGTACATTTAGAAATGCATTCAAACATGAAATAAGAGACACGCTTAAAATTACTTGTGTGTAACGTAAACAATATGTTGTTTTTTTTCACTCAGGGTGTTGTGTGGCCCGCCATGCACAACATAATTGCAAAATGGATCCCTCCTAACGAAAGAAGTACTTTTGTTACAGCTTACACGGGTAAGTTCAAAAAATCACTGTGTAATATATGTTAAGAGTTGATTAAAGTAAGTACAGTGAAACCGGACATGAACGTTCACAAATGGTTCCGGCTAAAATTCTCGGTTAATAGAGGGACGGTTTAATCGAGGGTAATAAGTTACGCGAAAATTGTGGTAACTACTATGTAATAAAATATTTCCATAAGGTACTCTCAAATACAACATAAAAAACTACACACTAATAACTAAATACAAACGCATAGATTTTACTATCTTTGACCCAGAAAAAGGCTTGTACAGTAATTTGATAGGGAGGTTACCTATTTCTGATCAGTACAATTTCGTAACTTTCTAAATGTGTTCCCTTTTTACTTTGTACTTCTTACCCTCCTAAAGAAGAAAAAATATTGTAATTGTGCGCCAGAAAAAGGTAAATTTTCAATAACAGCGAAAAAATTTTAATGGCTGGCTCTGGTAACGAAGACATGGATAAATCTTGTCCCTGTATGTAGACAGTAGCTTACCATCTCTAACACGTGTAGCTAGAATCCATGTTTCGCGGGTCCGTGATACCGAAAACTGATTCACGGCAAAACATCCGTCTGTCTGTTGGTGCGTCCGTCCATCACCGGTCAAAGCTAGCGTCTAAATCGTTTGGATGATTTTCTTCAAAATTGGTATTCCCCGATCGTCTTAAAGTAACTCGAGTATCTCTGAGTTCGAAATCGATCATTTGATTTTTTGGCTTTGTTTTTTATTAAAATTTATCCTCGAAAAGCGAAAATCCTCGAAAAGCTCAAAGAAGTAACGGAGATTTCGTTTTCCTTGATCAAATCCCTAATTTTTCGAAAATTGCAAAATTTCATAATTTTTTCGGCGTTTTCATATAACTACAAAACGAAGACAGATTTTTCCTGCATGAAATCTATTTTTAAAGACATTTTGAAATAAGTTTATGTACAATGTTCCAAAAATATGAACATATTTTGCGTTATTTTGGGTGAAATATAGGCAATTTATAAACAATTACTTTCTGAAAAACGGCTTCAAACTTTTTCTTTCAAATTTCTCCTCGAATATATCAAAGGATGGTAAAACAATTGCTGCTGGCCCTATTTTCAGCGAACTCTGTATCTTAGAAAACGTCGAAAAGTTAACATTACAAAAGAACAATAATGAAGATAGAGATGTTTGCCGTAAATAAAATATGTTCTAACACTCAGATCTTTAAAAAAACGTCATGCACAGTTATTGAAAAAACAAGTAGTTTTCACGTTGCTGCGTTCACGTTTAACAGAAGCGGCTTGAAGTTAAAGCAAAGAAAAAAAATCAAAAACAGTTCTAAATTGTTTAATTTTTCAACGCGGTACGCTTAAAAGAATGACCCAAATCTAATTATGGTTGAAGTCTCTAAATTATTAGAAAATTGCAAATGTTAGAAGCAATGCGTGTGCGCTGTCGTTGTTCCGCTAGTTTATAACCGTTTTAATTTGTGTCTTTCCGCACTTAGAACATCAACCAATGTTCTTTCTGAACACACTTTCTCGGTTCTCTTGCCTCCCATCGGTTGGCACCAAATCATTTTCTTCCCTACGAAACCCACTTACCAACCTCAACTCACCGAACTCACAAGCAAACCGAACGTCGAGCATCACACGTCCTACGAGCAGAGCCTTCCCACGAGGAAGTTTGCAAGTGGCCTTCAGATCGTTTCAGATGCACGTGGCGTGCTTGCGAGTCGTTGGCAAGTTTACAGTGATGGCAAACGAGAATGCTGCGGAACGGGCGAAGCAATTGCGTCGTTAGTTCATAGAGACCTTTAATTCCATCATATTTGTTATCTTATTTGCTAATCAATTAATTCCTCAGAGAAGTGACTTTCCATCACATTATAGAAATCCATCATCAGACCTTTAATATTATACGCCTCGTTTAAACCAGTGCTTCAGGTACAACCATAAATATATCGCAAATAATATAAAATAAATTTATCCGATAGGAATCCATGAACCATGGTTTATATCCAAAAAAGGGTTACACAAACCCCTGAATATATCAACCATCACAAAATACGTATCCTACCTCTTCAACAACTTATACTCAAACATCAACACTATACCACACGAATTTACTTTAACCTCACCTCAACATACCTAACTCCTACATGAATTAAAAACCGTACCCATTTGATGGCTTCCTAAACATATTCCAGAACAATTGTTACACGTAGATGCTGATTATAGCTACCTACCTTGTAGTAATAGTTTTAAGATTATGAAATAAGAATAGATTTGTAAGCCAAGTAATACATTTTAGACAATGTGTACTGAATATCTATTGGCGATCGAAAAATAAATATGAATAAAAAAAGAGAAGTGACTCTAGATGTCCCTATTCTAAGTAATCAGACAATGCATCTCGTCTCAAGAAGATACTGAATCGACAGTCCCTCTACCGCGACCCGAGCCGCTTAATGGAGGTGGTCGTATGAGCAGGTTCCACTGTCGCCAGGGGGCTCCATCGGCGTGGCGGTGACGTTCCTGCTGGGCGGGCTGGTGATCGACTGGCTGGGCTGGGAGGCCATCTTCCACATCACCGGCGTGCTGGGCGTCGTGTGGTTCATCGCGTGGTGGAAGCTGGTGTTCGACACCCCGGACGAGCATCCGCGGATATCCGAGGCCGAACGCTCTTACATCGTGTCCAGTTTGGGGCAGTCTGTCTCCAAGAGAAAAGTAAGATTGTCCCGCTCGACATCTGTAGCTTATTCTAATATTAAGAGGAAATACGTTCTGAACATTCAACAATATCGATGAAATTAGTTTCACCTTTTGCAAACTATGTGTCAAGTGTTAATATGGAGATTGAGGGATCTCGATTATGTAAGGCCGGTCTCTGTTTTATTTTATACTGCAAATTGTAAACAATCGATTTTTGCAGGAGAGCCCCCTCGAACTGGATATTTATTTTATGCAAGGGATAAAATTCCAACCTAGTTAAATCCTGTGCAAATGTTACAAATTCTTTATTCGAATGTACTAAAAGATTGTTCTTGTTCGCTTTTCCAGCCCAAAACACCTTGGGCGCAAATAGCGTGTTCATCTGTATTCTGGATTACGGTTGTCGTACATTGGAGCAGCAATTTGGGAATTTTCACTCTCATGACACAAGCTCCTACCTATTTTAAGTACATCCATGGATGGAGCATCAAAATGGTAATAATATTTAAAATAAGTTTCATAATTCTACTGAATTTTGAAATAAATAACTTTACCATTTTAAATGCCACTCCATAACCATATTTTTATATTCCAGACAGGAGTGCTTTCTGGTGTGCCTCACATATGCAGAACACTTTTTGGATACTTCTTTTCCGTTTTTGGAGATTATTTGTTGAGAAACAACTACATGTCTCGAACAGGTGTTCGCAAAATGGCAACTTCGGTGTGTAAGTATTATATTTTGCATCCGGAGAGAGAATGATTTAAAATGTTTAAAACCTGGTGTGTTTCAACTTTGGTATGCCTATGTCACTTTGTCCGTTGAGGAATTTCACCAAGAATGAAGTTACTTCCTCACAAGTCTGGAAGGAGTCCTATGCTTTTTAAACAGAGAAAAAAGTCCTCAGAGCTGGAGATCTATTCCTTTTTCAAATATTCAAGGAAGTCGTCTTAGGAAGGGAAGGAGTCGGCACAACAGCCATTCCGTCGCAGGGCACTTGGAGAGGGTGTTTGGGGATGGCCGGTTCAAAGGTATAGCTCTGAGAAAGGCTGAGAAGTATCAGAGGAAATCAGGAAACGACTGCCCCGAACAGCCTACCTTTAGAATTCTTCTTTAGGCAGTGGCTTTTTTCGGCGGGGCATTCGAACTCGAATGCAAATCTTGCAGAGAATTCGAGATTTCAAAACTTGAATCTTTGTGCTTTTGTAGTCATTTCCAGTCTGAGATGCCAGTCTGAGTCCAGTCTGAGACCTTGCAAGTAATGGAAATAATAGAATGTAGTGTAGTAAATTTGAAATGTAGTAAAACGTAGCAGCCAATAGCTCCCATTCTTTCAATAGCTTTCAGACAGTCTCGCCTCTCCTAGATAGCCATCAGCCTGGGGCTATGTCCAGTAAAGCAAGTGCTAACAGCAGGGAAGGGGAGCGTTCCTTCTTTTAGGATAGAAGGGACCACCTCTTGACTTCCTCTGAAAGGCGGAAGGGCAGTCTTTTCTTCCTCTGTACCCCTTCAGCGTGAGAGGGTTATGGCCACCAGATGGTGTCATCACGTGACTGGCTGCGGGGGGCGGTCGAGGGGTGGCACGCGTTGCTCTTCGGTCTTTCCTGACAGAACAGCCAAGACCAACAGAGGGTCGCGCGTCCTTCCGACAACACGTGCTCTGCACGTCAAGCCATGCTAACATTGTAAATAAATGTACATAAGTTATGAAATTCTCTCGTCTTATTACATCACAACGCCACAGGAAAATCAGCCAGTAGGTTACTCACGATATTCTTCTTGACCAAAAGAAGACCCTCAAAAGCAGCGAAGCTCTTACAAACGCGTCGAATATGAAACAGATATTGTAATTTTTGGGAGTACTTTACGTGAATCCCAAAGAATATTTTCAATTTTTTCCTTCAGAAACGGCTCCAAGCTATTTGATTCAATGTTTTTATATCGAAAAAAGCTGAGAACACCCAAAAATAGCGCAGGTCACATTTTCGTTAAATTATCTGAATATTTTATGGTTGTAAAATTTTTTGGCGTCTTCCTACTACTACAGTATTTAAGATTTCTCTTCTGAATGAAATCAGTTCTTTAGAATTAAATCATTAATTGAAATCATGTGCACCATTTTTTTAAAAATTTTGTAGGTTTTGCGTAATTTTTCACGAGATAAAGGCAATTTTAAAACAAGACTTTCACAAAAACATCTCCAAACTTTCTCTTTCAACTTTTCGTACGGATAGAATGAATGTACTGAACAACAATACATAAAATAAAATTGAAAGTATTGTTTTGTTTGTTATTTAAAAAAACACAAATGCAATTTCTTTATTTCTTTTATGTCGTTCATAATGGGCATAACGGGCGTTTTTATGTATTATTGAATTTGTACAAGGATTTCAAATGAATGATTCATGATGTCTCTGAAAATCCAAAGGGTTTCTTGGAAAATGTCCTCAACATTGCGCACTTTATCAAAAGTAGTTTCAACATTTTTTAAAAATTTTGTTTACAGATAGTGCAAAATTCACTGAGTAACATGATATGAACCCCTTAATGACATATTCTTTATTTTTTAATTACAGAAATGGATTTTTAATAACTCCCACGTGATTAATATTTACATTAAGGACGATTTTTGTATATTATTCCATTTCTAAGCACACATACTTTAAACGATTTTCAATGAAATTTCTCGAAAACTCAGAACGTTTTCCTGAAAATAAGCTCAAAATAACGCGTTTTCAGAAAAGACATTTTCAAAGAATAACTCCAAATATTTCGACGAAATTTGCATGTAAAGGGGCTGGTCTAAATAATATGAATACCATGCATTGTAGTAGATATTATTGCATGTTGGCACCACTGTGGATGTGTAAAGCCTGCGACGCGGTGGCATGGTACACGCGCCAGGTTTTGAATATTATATTGCAGTGTTTTATAGACCTTTGTCTGCAACGGAGACCACAAGCGATCGTTGAAATGTGTGATCTCTTACTTCGAAAGGGTACATCGTTGATGCGCGGTTAGCGGGAGAACCTGTGTCAAAAACAGCTGAAATGTTTAACGTTTCACGAGCGACAGTGTCGACGGTAATGACAGCATACACAAAACGTGGTAAAACATTAAGGACGAAGAGGAATAGCGTTCGAAAGCCGACGTTAACTGCCAGAAACCGACTAACATTGAAAAGAACCGAGGCCAGACAACATAAAATTACTCCGTCAAAAGTGACTGCAAAACTCAACGACTCGAGTAATACCGTTTCCACAAAAACAGTACGGCGGGAGCTTCCCAAAGCCAACATCACGGAAGGGCTTCAATTGCGAAATCCTGCACTACGGAAGCCAACGCAAAGCTGCGAAAGAAGTGGTGCCACGATCATTAAACCTGATCTTTTAATGACTGGATTGATTGCTTAGTGAATCCGTGCACGTTCACTTCCAGTGTCATTAGTCCCGTATGTGCAATGCATGTTTTGTGCTCGGGGTGGCGGTGATCTTTCCCCCCCTGGGTGGCGAGAACCGGCGCCGACCTACCGTCGGCTAGCCGGCTTTCCCACAACCAGGTACCTCCCACCTCCAGGGCACCGCCCCAGCCTTGATGACTGGAAGAATGTGATATGGTCCGATGGCGCATGTCCAAATAGCATGGAGCAATCTGAATTTTCAAACATTTCAAATAATGAGAAAATTATTGTGTTGCGTGTTCTTCAAAATTCGATCTCTAAGTGGGGTCATAGAGTCTTTCACGAGTTATCAGGTAGCAATACGCCAAGGGCAACGACGCGTGACGGCAATTTGAAATTCATTCTGGGAATTAATTCTCGTTGGAGATGTTACTTTCTGTTCGGAATGCACTTTTGGATTTTTGAATTTGGTGAAGTATTAGCCTCAAAAGGATTAGTGGTTGGATTGGCCGAACTGTACCAGCAATGGTGAAATGAGTTGATATGTTCAGAAACTGCTGTATAATATTACGTACGATTTACTAATGCGAGAAAGTACGTGCTATACTAGCGCCACTAGTTTTCCACGTAAATTGTACTGCGATTTTTCTGTGTGAGACAAATGAAGGAGAGGTTGCGCGCCCTGCGGCAGAGCCAACTCGCAATCGGATTCCGAGATGATCACACCGCCCACGCTGCAACCTCGTAAAATGGACGTTCCTTTGATCATACCTCCAATTAAAAACGTTACAGCGCATGCAACAGCGTACTACACCTTACACGCACGCACTGCATCATTCATTAAATAAGCGGCGCTCAGGCGCTTCCTCGCGAACAGGACGGGCACAAAAGATTACAAATTGGGTTTCCTTCCGCCTGCACTTATCGAGTTACGGAAATAGTTGTTTTTTTTTTCAACGCTTCCTTGATGTCTCTACCAAATGGCAAAAGAGAATAATCCAGCTTTACAACAGTATTAAATACGAAGCTAATTAAAGACTGGACGAAATGTCAGCGTTTTTTGTTTGTTTGTTGTTGTATTTTTTGTTTCGTTTTGTTTGTGGGGGAGACCTGTCTAAACAATAAGAGAGAAATAAGTTTCAATTTTGTTTCCTTTTAATGTACTCCTCACGTAGTACAGAGAAGGTTAAGTACCGCAGCACCGAAAAGTAGGACATTTTCGACAGAAAAACCCCTGTGGGTTCCTGATAGCGAATTTTTTTTTCTTGCTGCTATATATAGTAAATTCCTTCCTCAAATAATGTACGTGTGCAATAAGTAACTACGTTTTGAGTCCTTGAAACTGAAAAGTTTGTCTGTGTGGCTGCCTGGCTGTGTGGCCGTCTGTGCCTGGCGTCAGACCCGCTCAAAGGATTTTCTCCAAAATTGATACTCCCCGTTTGATTATTTCGTGTTTCCCGGCTCGTCAACGGTTGTCATTAGTCCCGAAAGAATAGCGAATGTTTTGTGTGGGAGATAGTGGTATTTTCCCCGCCGGTTGTCGAGATCCGGCGGCGACCCGCACGTGGATCTGACGGGTTTTTCCCAAGCAGGAGCACCGTTTCAAGGGGCCACCACCCCAGTCGGGTCACGCCCTAGGCCGTCGACTGTGTGATAGTGCAGTGAATGTAACTGTGAGTGTGTGTAAGGGTTGACGATAGAAGGAAGAGGAAGGAAAGATCGCGCGCGGTCCGTGGCCCGTTTGTTAGGGTACTACTCCTGCATTCGTCTGATGTTGATCCGCCTGTCTACCTGCGCAGTCGCGCCGAATCAAAACCACCAAGGTTTCTTGGGTCTCTTTCCGCGCAGCCTCTCCGCCTCCAGCAGCAAACTCGGTCAATCGCTGGCTCAGTGGGTGCAACTGAATGGCACGTGCTCCACGCGGCGAGAACCTACTTCATAAATGGGGCGAGGAATAAAAGTGAGGGGCGTGACGTGGTTGCGGCGGCTCCAAGGGCCAGATCCGGGCGATAGCCGCCCGGCGAGAGGCCCCGTCACCCGCCGCCCGCGTCGCCCGGGGGGCCTTTCTCTCGCGGGCGGGGCGCGGCACGGCGCGGCGCGGTCACGAGAGGGGCGTTGCAAAGTTCTCTTCGATACCTGTATGTGAGAGCAGGCGAGCCTTTGAAATAAAAGTTTTGCGTACAATGCACTTGAACACTCTTTGGATGCGTTTACCGGCTCACTTAACCCATGTGTATTATTCTGATACCATTAAAATACACCGAACTCAGTTTGGTCTAATATAATTCAACATATTGATATCAAAAGTATTCTCCTTCAACACTGTG